TGTCTCTCCCCGTGTCTCTCTCTCCCCATGTCTCCCTCACCCCGTGTCTCTCCCCGTGTCTCTCTCTCCCCGTGTCTCTCCCCGTGTCTCTCAGCCCGTGTCTCTCTCTGTCTCTCTCACCCCGTGTCTCTCTCTGTCTCTCTCACCCCGTGTCTCTCTCACCCCGTGTCTCTCTCACCCCCGTGTCTCTCTCTCCCCGTGTCTCTCTCTCCCCGTGTCTCTCTCTGTCTCTCTCACCCCGTGTCTCTCTCTGTCTCTCTCACCGCGTGTCTCTCTCTTCCCGTGTCTCTCTCCCCGTGTCTCTCTCCTCGTGTGTCTCTCTCCCCGTGTCTCCCCGTGTCTCTCTCCGTGTCTCACCCCGTGTCTCTCTCACACCGTGTCTGTCTCCCCGTGTCTCCCCGTGTCTCTCTCTCTCCCCGTGTCTCTCTCTATCTCTCTCTCCCCGTGTCTCCCCGTGTCTCTCTCACCCCGTATCTCCCCGTGTCTCTCTGTCTGTCTACCCATGTCTCCCCGTGTCTCTCTCTCTGTCTCTCTCTCCCCGTGTCTCTCTCTATCTCTCTCTCCCCGTGTCTCCCCGTGTCTCCCCGTGTCTCTGTCTCTCTCTCTCTCTCCCCGTGTCTCCCCGTGTCTCCCCGTGTCTCTCCCCGTGTCTCTGTCTCTCTCACCCCGTGTCTGTCTCTCCCCGTGTCTCCCCCCGTGTCTCCCCCCGTGTCTCCCCCCGTGTCTCCCCGTCTCTCCCCGTGTCTCCCTGTGTCTCCCCCCGTGTCTCCCCCCGTGTCTCCCCCCGTGTCTCCCCGTGTCTCCCCCGTGTCTCCCCGTGTCTCCCCGTGTCTCCACGTGTCTCTCTCACACCGTGTCTCTCCCCGTGTCTCCCCGTGTCTCTCTCACACCGTGTCTGTCTCCCCGTGTGTCTCCCCGTGTCTCTCTCACACCGTGTCTCTCTCTCCCCGTGTCTCCCCCCGTGTCTCCCCGTGTCTCCCCGTCTCTCCCCGTGTCTCCCCGTGTCTCCCCCCGTGTCTCCCCCCGTGTCTCCCCGTGTCTCCCCGTGTCTCTCTCACACCGTGTCTCTCCCCGTGTCTCCCCGTGTCTCCCCGTGTCTCTCTCACACCGTGTCTGTCTCCCCCCGTGTGTCTCCCCCCGTGTCTCCCCGTGTCTCTCTCACACCGTGTCTCTCTCTCCCCGTGTCTCCCCCCGTGTCTCCCCCCGTGTCTCCCCGTGTCTCCCCGTCTCTCCCCGTGTCTCCCCGTGTCTCTCTCCCCCCGGTGTCTCTCCCCGTGTCTCCCCCCCGTGTCTCCCCCCGTGTCTCCCCCGTGTGTCTCCCCCCGTGTCTCCCCCCGTGTCTCCCCCCGTGTCTCCCCCAGTGTCTCCCCCCGTGTCTCCCCGTCTCTCCCCGTGTCTTCCCCCGTGTCTCCCCGTGTCTCTCTCCCCCCGTGTGTCTCCAGAGACCTATGGGAGACTTTGGCCTGCTGGGCTCACTCCTGGACTCTGCCCAGGAGCACTCCACCGCTGTGGGTCGCGTCTGGCTCAGCGTCCTCTTTGTCCTGCGGATACTCGTGCTCACCGCTGGAGCTGACCAGGTCGCTGAGAGGTCACAGGCCGTGACCCTCGGGGTCACGGCGGGTCACTGAGGGGCACAGGTCGTGACCCTCGGGGACACGGCGGGTCACTGAGGGTCACAGGTCGTGACCCTCGGGGACACGGCGGGTCACTGAGGGTCACAGGTCGTGACCCCCAGTGACACGGCGGGTCACTGAGGGTCACAGGTCGTGACCCTCAGGGACACGGTGGGTCACCGAGGTCACAGGCCGTGACCCTCAGGGTCACGGCAGGTCACTGAGGGTCACAGGTCGTGACCCTGATGTTCACGGCGGGTCGCTGAGGGTCACAGGTTGTGACCCTCGGGGTCACAGGTCGCGACCCTGAGGGCCACGGCGGGTCGTGGCTGTGACCTCACAACGCTGGCCCCTCCCCCCTCGCTCCCCCCCCCCCCGTGACCTCACAACGCTGGCCCCTCCCCCCTCACGCTCCCCCCGTGACGTCACAACGCTGGCCCCGCCCCCTGTGCGTTCCCACTCCCCGTGACCTTACAACGCTGGCCACTCCCCCCTCACGCTCCCCCCCCGTGACGTCACAACGCTGGCCCCGCCCCCCTCGCGCTCCCCCCCGCGTGACATCACAACGCTGGCCACGCCCCCCCCCCCTGTGCGTTCCCACTTCCCCCGTGACCTCACAACGCTGGCCACGCCCCCCTGTGCGTTACCACGCGCCGCGTGACCTCACAACGCTGGCCACGCCCCCCTTGCGTTCCCGCCCCCCCCCGTGACCTTACAACGCTGGCCCCTCCCCCTGTGCGTTCCCGCCCCGCGTGACGTCACAACGTTGGCCCCGCCCCCCTCACGCTCCCCCCACGCGTGACCTCACAACGCTAGCCACGCCCCCCTGTGCGTTACCACGCGCCGCGTGACCTCACAACGCTGGCCCCTCCCCCCCCTCGCGCTCCCACGCGCCACGTGACCTCACAACGCTGGCCCCTCCCCCCCTCGCGCTCCCACTTCCCCCGTGACCTCACAACGCTGGCCACGCCCCCCTGTGCTTTACCACGCGCCGTGACCTCACAACGCTGGCCCCTCCCCCCTTCACGCTCCCCCCCCCCCCGCGTGATGTCACAACGCTGGCCCCTCCCCCTCCCCCCTCCCCCCGCGTGACGTCACAACGCTGGCCCCTCCCCCCTCTCCCCGCCCGCAGGTGTGGGGTGACGAGCAGTCTGACTTCAGCTGCAACACGCAGCAGCCGGGCTGTGAGAATGTCTGCTACGACACGGCGTTCCCCATCTCGCACGTGCGCTACTGGGGCCTGCAGGTCATCGCCGTGTCCACGCCCGCACTCGCCTACCTGGGGCACGTGCTGCACGTCGTCAGGCAGGTGAGGAGGCGCGCGCAAACTCACACAGATAAAGATAAAGATATATACACACACTCACTCACTCAGATGAAGATAAAGATATATACACACACTCACACAGATAAAGATATATACACACACAGATAAAGATATATCATACACACACACAGATAAAGATATATACACACACTCAGATAAAGATATATACACACAATTATACACACACAGTTATACACACGCAGTTATACACACACAGGTATACACACACACAGTTATACACACACAGTTATATACACACACAGTTATACACACAGAGTTATACACACATAGTTATACACACACAACAACAACCGCCATTCGCCACTAAGTGGCGGTGACGTCACCACGACGCTTGTGCCAGGCTATGTGCACCCTGAGACCACGTGAAGTGTCTAACGCCCGCTGGCAGGAGGTCACGGGGCAGACCCAGGTGCCACGGGTCGACTGACTGAGACGACTGGCTGATGCACCACCTGTGCCCCCTACTGTGCCAACCTGCTGTGCTTTAGCCACCCGGCGCTCCGCTCGTTGTTGTGAGCGTTGCTCCTCCGCCCTCCGTTGTTGGAGGGCGACTGCCTCCAACTGCCCAATAGCGTCCTTCACGAGCCTCCTCCACAGAGGCCGATCTTGACACCGCTGGTACCAGTCATCGGCAAGTCCACTCAGCTCCACGTCCTCCTGTACCACATCACTCCATCTCTTCTCTAGCCCGTGCCGCGCCCGCTTAGCCCCCTCAATCCGGCCAAACAAAAGCTGTTTCGACATGCGGTGGCTGGGCATGCGGGCTACATGACCCAGCCATCGCAGCCTTCCCCGCCGGAGGAGCTCACCGATGGGACCTTGCCCAGATCTTTCAAGGATTTGTGAGCTTCTCACACAATCCAGTCTGGTTAAACCCAGGATGGATCGTAGGCAGGCCAGCCTAAATGTTTCTAACCGGCGAAGATGTTCCATTAGGGGGGGTCCACGTTTCGCAAGCGTAGAGAAGGGAGGGAATGACCGTGCGCGAGAAGACCTGAACATTAGTGTGGAGCAACAGACCAGGTAGCTTCCACACAGCGTTACGCAACCGATGAAAAGATATTGCCACTCGACTGATTCAGAGTGAGACCTCTGCTGTTAAACTGGAGCCAGTCATAAGCACACTGCCCAGGTATGGGAAACTCTCCACTCTCTCCACAACTGCCCCATCACCGATCGGGAGTTGTGGGGGTGGAGTGTCCGATGTTACAAAATACCCAGGCACACAGTTATACACGCACAGACACACAGTTATACACACAGTTATACATACACACACACAGTTATACACAACAACAACAACAACCGCCATTCGCCACTAAGTGGTGGTGACGTCACCACGACGCTTGTGCCAGGCCATGTGCACCTTGAGGCCACGTGAATTGTCGAACGCCCACTGGCAGGAGATCACGGGGCAGACCCAGGTGCCACGGGTCGACTGACTGAGATGACTGAGACGACTGGCTGATGCACCACCTGTGCCCCCTACTGTGCCAACCTGCTGTGCTTTAGCCACCCGGCGCTCCGCTCGTTGTTCTGAGCGTCGCTCCTCCGCCCTCCGTTGTTGTTGGAGGGCGACTGCCTCCAACTGCCCAGTAGCATCCTTCACGAGCCTCCTCCACAGAGGCCAATCTTGACACCGCTGGTACCAGTCATCGGCAAGTCCACTCAGCTCCACGTCCTCCTGTACCACATCACTCCATCTCTTCTCTAGCCCGTGCCGCGCCCCCTCAGCCCCCTCAATCCGGCCAAACAAAAGCTGTTTCGGCATGCGGTGGCTGGGCATGCGGGCTACATGACCCAGCCATCGCAGCCTTGCCTGCCGGAGGAGCTCACCGATGGGACCCTGCCCAGATCTTTCATGGATTTGTGAGCTCCTTACACAATCCAGTCTGGTTAAACCCAGGATGGATCGTAGGCAGGCCAGCCTAAATGTTTCTAACCGGCGAAGATGTTCCATTAGGGGGGTCCACGTTTCGCAAGCGTAGAGAAGGGAGGGAATGACCGTGGCCGAGAAGACCTGAAGCTTAGTGCGGAGCGACAGACCAGGTAGCTTCCACACAGCGTTACGCAACCGATGAAAAGATATTGCCGCTCGACTGATTCGGAGTGAGACCTCTGCTGTTAAACTGGAGCCAGTCATAAGCACACTGCCCAGGTATGGGAAACTCTTCACTCTCTCCACAACCTCCCGATCACCGATTGGGAGTTGTGGGGGCGGAGTGTCCGATGGTACAAAATACCCAGGCAGGTGCTTAGTTTTGGTGGGGCTGATGGTAAGGCCCCACCTCTTAGTGGCACGCTCCAGTCTCAGCAGCAGCGTCTCCAACTCCTCCTCTGACTGAGCAGCTATTACCAAATCATCAGCATACATAACGTGGTTGAGCAATAGGGAGCCATCCCTTGACCGCACCCGGGCATCGATTAGCCTCCCATTATATCTGTACCATATGGAGATTCCCCCGGTACAGCTATTGAAGGCTTCACGAACTACGTGGTCAAAATAGATGTTAAATAATGTGGGAGCCAGAGGACATCCCTGTCGCACCCCAAGGTGTACAGGGAATGGCTCTGACTCCCGGCCACGTAGTTTTACCCGGGCCCGCTCACCATCAGGAAGGTCCTTAATGATTGTGAGCAGATGGTCAGGTACTCCAAAAGCACGAAGAACGACCCAGAGCCCAGGCCTACTGATGGTATCAAAGGCCTTAACCAGGTCAATAAAGCAGAGATGTAGGTCTTGCTGGAATTCCCTACACCTCTCCTGTAGCAGACGGACAGAAAATATGGCATCTGTGCAGGACCGCCCTTTCCTGAAACCGCACTGGGGCTCCGCAAGCCTCTCCTCAGCGTGCCTGGCAAGGTGATGCTGAATAATCCTTGCCAGGACCTTTCCCGGCACACTGAGGAGTGAGATGCCCCTGTAGTTGTTACAGTCCGTGCGGTCCCCCTTCTTAAAAAGGGGGACCACCAGGGCATCCTTCCAATCCTGCGGAACCCGTCCAGTGGTCCAGACTGTTGTTATGATGTCATATAGGGCACAAACTCCACCCTCCCTCAGCATTTCGCTTGGGAGATCATCTCTGCCCGCTGCCTTTCCTGGTCTCAGACTCCGGATCGCCTTCAATACTTCCTCAGCAGATGGCACCTCAGCCAGCCACTCACAGGGGGTGACCTCTTCCAATATTTGAGGCACTGCAGCCTCAGCAGGGTCATCCTCACTTTGTGCCACGATGTTTTCCTGGCTGAGGGATTTTCCCTCCCCCAGGACCTCACAGAAATGCTCAGCAAATCTGCGAACCTGTTCCTGGGGGTCGGAGATTGGATCACCGTTTTTTTCCCCTAATGATGGTAATAGGTGTGGCGCTGCAGGTTACTTTTTTGATGGAGTTAAATAGAGATTTGTGATCACGGGCCACTGAGGCAGACTCCATCTCCTCAGCAACCCGCGACCACCACCCATCCTTGCAGCGCCTCACGGCTCTCCGAACCTCCGAGCGAAGGCTGCGGTAAGCCTCCTCATTCTCTGACGTGGGATTCTGTAGCCGATGACAGTGGGCCTGTCGCTTTTTCTCAACCATCCTGAACACCTCCTCTGTCAGCCAGGGTCTCTGGGGAGGTCTGGACCGCGTACCCAAAGCAGCCATTGCAGCTGCATGAGTCACAGTCCTAAACCTCGCCCATTTACCCTCGACATCAGGAGGAGTCGTGGACGATGCCAATCCCAGCCGCAAGCGATTATATACACACACACAGGTATACACACACACACAGACACACAGTTATACACACACACAGGTATACACACACAGTTATACACACACACAGATATACACACACAGTTATACACACACACAGTTATACACACACACAGTTATACACACAGACACACACACACACATGTACCACACACACACACAGTTATACACACACAGTTATACACGCAGTTATACACACACACAGTTATATACACACACACACAGTTATATACACACACAGTTATACACACGTAGTTATATACACACACAGTTATACACACACAGTTATACACACAGGTATACACACACAGTTATACACACAGACAGACATTTATACACACAGACACACACACACGTAACACACGCACACACACAGTTATACACACACACAGTTATACACACACACAGTTATACAGACACACAGTTATACACACACAGTTATACACACACAGTCATACACACACAGTTATACACACACACAGTTATACACACACACAGTTATACACACGCAGTTATACACACACACACAGTTATACATACACACACAGTTATACACACACACAGACATACACACACAGTTATACACACACAGTTATACACACAGAGTTATACACACACAGTTATACACACAGTTATACACACACACAGTTATACACACACACAGTTATACACACACAGACATACACACACAGTTATACACACACACAGACATACACACACACAGTTATACACGCAGTTATACACACACAGTTATACACACACACAGTTATACACACACACACAGACATACACACACACAGTTATACACACACAGTTATATATACACACACACAGACATACACACACACACAGTTATACACACACAGACACACACACACACGCACACACACAGTTATACACGCAGTTATACACGCACACACAGTTATACACACGCAGTTATACACACACAGACACACACACGCACACACACAGTTATACACACAGACACACACGCAGTTATACACGCAGTTATACACACACAGACACACACACAGACACACACAGACACACAGTTATACACGCAGTTCTACACTCAGTTAGACACCCACAGAGAGTTATACACACGCACATGCACGCAGTTATACACTCAGTTATAAACACACACAGACAGTTATACACACACGCAGTTATACACGCAGTTATACACGCAGTTATACACACAGTTATACACACACAGACACATACACACATACAGACATACACAGACAGTTATACACACACCCAGTTATACACACGGACACACACAAACAGTTATACACGCAGTTATACACACAGTTATACACACAGTTATACACGCAGTTATACACACACAGACACACACACAGACACACACAGACACACACACAGACACACACAGACACACACACAGACACACACAGACACACACACAGACACACGCACACACAGTTATATACACACACAGTTATACACACACAGACACACACACAGACACACACACAGACACACACAGACACACACGCACACACAGTTATACACGCAGTTATACACACAGAGTTATACACACAAAGACACACACAGACACACAGTTATACGCGCACACACACACACACACATAGTTATACACACATAGTTATACACACACAGACACACACAGACACACACACAGACATACACACAGACAGTTATACACACACAGACACACACACAGACACACACACAAACCCACACACAGAGACACACACACACAGACACACACACACACACAGACACACACACACAGACACACGCACACACAGTTATACACGCAGTTATGCACACACAGACACACACAGACACACACACAGACACACACAGACACACACAGACACCCACACAGACACACGCACCCACAGTTATACACACAGTTATACACACGCAGTTATACACACACAGTTATACACACACAGACACACACACAGACACACACAGACACACATAGACACACACAGACACACACAGACACACACAGACACACACACAGACACACACACAAACTTACACACAGACACACACACACAGACACACAGACATACACACCACACGCAGACACACACAGACACACACAGACACAGCCACACAGATACACAGAGACACACACACATACAGATACACAGCCACACAGATACACAGAGACACACACACCACACCCACCACACACAGACACCACACACACAGAAATACACACAGACACACCACACACACCACACACACACCACACACACCACACACACACACACCACACAACCACCACCCCACCGTCTGTGATCTCACAATGGGCAGTGTGGTCTGTGATCTCACAATGGGCAGTGTGATCTGTGACGTTACAATGGGCAGTGTGGTCTGTGACCTCACAATGGGCTCTGACCTCACAATGGGCTGTGACCTCACAATGGCAGTGTCTTCTGTGATCTCACAACCGGCCATATCCAACCATCGTATCGACCAGTCCATTGTATCAGTCCATTGTATCTGTCCATTGTATCTCTCCATTGTATCTGTCTATTGTATCTGTCCATTGTATCTGTCCATTGTATCTGTCCATTGTATCTGTCAATCCTTCCATCTGTCCATTGTATCTGTCCATTGTATCTCTCCATTGTATCTGTCCATTGTATCTCTCCATTGTATCTGTCCATTGTATCTGTCCATTGTATCTGTCCATTGTACCTGTCCATTGTATCTGTCCATTGCATCTGTCCATTGTATCTGTCCATTGTATCTGTCCATTGTATTTGTCCATTGTACCTGTCCATTGTATCTGTCCATTGCATTTGTCCATTGTATCTGTCCATTGTATCTGTCCATTGTATCTGTCCATTGTACCTGTCCATTGTATCTGTCCATTGCATCTGTCCATTGTATCTGTCCATTGTATCTGTCCATTGTATCTGTCCATTGTATCTGTCCATTGTATCTGTCCATTGTATCTGTCCATTGCATCTGTCCATTGTATCTGTCCATTGTATCTGTCCATTGTACCTGTCCATTGTATCTCTCCATTGTATCTCTCCATTGTATCTGTCCATTGTACCTGTCCATTGTATCTCTCCATTGTATCTGTCCATTGTATCTGTCCATTGTACCTGTCCATTGTATCTGTCCACTTTATCTGTCCATTGTATCTCTCCATTGTATCTCTCCATTGCATCTGTCCATTGTGTCTCTCCATTGTACCTGTCCATTGTACCTGTCCATTGTACCTGTCCATTGTATCTCTCCATTGTACCTGTCCATTGTATCTGTCCATTGTATCTCTCCATTGTATCTGTCCACTGTATCTGTCCATTGTATCTCTCCATTGTATCTCTCCATTGCATCTGTCCATTGTGTCTCTCCATTGTACCTGTCCATTGTATCTGTCCATTGTATTTGTCTATTGTATCTGTCCATCCCATCTATCCATTGTATCTGTCCATTGTATCTCTCCATTGTATCTCTCCATCGTACCTGTCCATTGTATCTGTCCATTGTATCTCTCCATTGTATCTCTCCATCGTACCTGTCCATTGTATCTGTCCATTGTATCTGTCCATTGTATCTCTCCATCGTACCCATCCTGTGTCCCTTCCTCCCTCCCTCCCCGCCTCCCCGCCCCCGCCCCAAGGAATCCAAGCAGCTCAGCGCCCCCCCGGCCAGCGGCAAACCCCCCGGCCCCCCCCGCGTCTCCGCGGACGGCCGCGTCCCCATCCGCGGCGCCCTCCTCCGCTCGTACCTCCTGAGCCTCGCCTGCCGGGCCCTGGTCGAGGCCTCCTTCATCTACGGCCAGGGCCGCCTGTTCGGCCTCTCCCTGGGCCACCTGTACCGCTGCCGCACGTGGCCCTGCCCCAACGTGGTCGACTGCTTCGTGTCGCGCGCCACCGAGAAGACCGTCTACGTCCGCCTCATGCTCGCCGCCTCCAGCCTCGGCCTGGCCCTCAACGTAGCCGAGTTCGCCTACCTGCTGTGCCGCGCCGGGGGGAGGCGGCGGCGGCGGCGGCGGGCGGCGGCGGCGGCGGCGGCCCGCCGGGAGGAGGAGGAGGCCGGCGGCGGCGTCGCTCCGGTCCCGAGCGGCCCGCCGCCGCCGCCCCCGCCGATGCCGCCGCCGGCGGTGGGAGACTTCGTAGGAGCCCCCGGGGCTTCGGCCTACGCCGGAGCTCCGCCGCTCTACAGCCTGTACCAGCAAGCCGAGCCCGCGGGGGCCGCTGGGGCCGGGGGGGCCGGAGGGGCCGGAGTCTTCGGGGACGCCGGGAGGCCTCCGGGGCCGTCCCCGCGGGACTGGGGGAGCCGGGAGGCCGGGAGGCTTCGGGGAGAGCCGCCGGGCCTACCAGGTTGGGAGCCTCCCCACCCTGTAGCGGCGATGTCTCACGGGGCGGTGATGTCTCACGAGTCCGTGATGTCTCCTGCCGTGATGTCTCCTGCCATGATGTCTCCTGCCGTGATGTCTCCTGCCGTGATGTCTCCTGCCGTGATGTCTCCTGCCATGATGTCTCCTGCCGTGATGTCTCCTGCCGTGATGTCTCCTGCCATGATGTCTCCTGCCGTGATGTCTCCTGCCGTGATGTCTCCTGCCGTGGTGAGCGAAGGAGCCTATGGCGGCAGGCCGGGCTCCAGCCGCTCCAGGCACGGAGATCTGCAGGTGTGAGTGGGGGGTGTGTGTCTGTATGTGTGTGTGTCTGTGTGTGTCTGTGTGTGAGTCTGTGTGTGAGTCTGTGTGTCTGTGTGTGAGTCTGTGTGTGTGTGTGAGTCTGTGTGTAAGTCTGTGTGTCTGTGTGTGTGTCTGTGTGTGAGTCTGTGTGTGAGTCTGTGTGTGTGTCTGTGTGTCGACATCCGGAGGAGTGGGGGACGATGCCAACCCCAGCCGCAGGCGATGATGGAATTCTCTCTTGCAACTTTCATCAGATAACTGAGACCAGGCCACTTTAGGTTGGATTGGGGTCCTGGGTGTACACCCACCACCGGAGTGGAAGAATGGCAGGCGCATCTTACAGATGACAAGTCGATGGTCAGAAGGCAGATCACCTCCACGGGAGGTCCTGGTGTCAAGGACATGGGCTCACATCCGCTGGTCCGTCACTGTGTAGTCCAGCAAATGTTCTTGCTTGGACCCGGCATGCATCCATGATTTTGTGTGGATGCGCCGATGCCGGAACAGCGTGTTGGTAATTACAAGCCAATGGGCTGTACAAAAATCTAGCAGCCTCCTACCGTTGTTATTGAGCTGATCTGGCCCATGCCCTCCAATCACTCCAGACCAGGTGCCACCATCATGACCCACTCGGGCATTGAAGTCACCCAACAAGATGACTCTATCCCGAGGGGTCACTTTAGCCAGCACCTGTGACAGGAGGTCATAGAAGGCATCTGACTCATCGGCTTTGCCTGCATCCCTCTACGGATGTTCGTCTTCGGTGGGGGCATAAGTAACCACGACCACCACTCCTCGCCTCTGATTGATGGGAAGGCGAGCCCAAAGTAGCCTGGGGCTTACAGCTTCCCACACCTCAACGCCACGCTCCCACGCCCCCTTCATTCTTTTGTTCAAAAGAAGAGCCACATCCTGTTTTGGCAGTCTGCTGCCCCGAGTAGAGGACTGTCCACCCCTCATGGTGGCAGGAGCCAGAGCCGGTCCACCAGACCTCCTGAATACCACAGAGATTAAGGCGGTACCGGTCCAGCTCCCGACAGAGGAGTGGCAGCCTCTCCTCCGCAGTGAGCGTTCGAACATTCCACTTGGCCACACGTAGTGGCTTTTCGTTGTTTCTGGAGGATGTCGAGGGTAAATGGGCGAGGTTTAGGACTGTCACTCATGCATCTGCATTGGCTGCTTTGGGTACGCGGTCCAGACCTCCCCAGAGACCCTGGCTGACAGAGGAGTCGTTCAGGATGGTTGAAAAAAAGCGACAGGCCCACTGTCATCGGCTACAGAATCCCACGTCAGAGAATGAGGAGGCTTACCGCAGCCTTCGCGCGGAGGTTCGGAGAGCCGTGAGGTGCTGCAAGGATGGGTGGTGGTCGCGGGTTGCTGAGGAGATGGAGTCTGCCTCAGTGGCCCGCGCTCACAAATCTCCATTTAATTCCATCAAAAAAGTAACCTGCCATCATTAGGGGAAAAAACGGTGACCCAATCTCCAACCCCCAGGAAAAGGTTTGCAGATTTGCTGAGCAATTCTGTGAGGTCCTGGGGGAGGGAAAATCCCTCAGCCAGGAAAACATCGTGGCACAAAGTGGGAATGACCCTGCTGAGGCTGCGGTGCCTCAAATATTGGAAGAAGTCACCCCCTGTGAGTGGCTGGCTGAGGTGCCATCTGTTGAGTTAGTACTGAAGGCGATCCGGAGTCTGAGACCAGGAAAGGCAGTGGGCAGAGATGATCTACCAAGTGAAATGCTGAGGGAGGGTGGCGTTTGTGCACAGACTGCCCTATATGACGTCATAATAACAGTCTGGACCACTGGACGGGTTCCGCAGGGTTGGAAGGATGCCCTGGTGGTCTCCCTCTTTAAGAAGGGGGACCGCACAGACTGTAAGAACTACAGGGGCATCTCACTCCTCAGTGTGCCGGGAAAGGTCCTGGCAAGGATTATTCAGCATCGCCTTGCCAGGCACGCTGAGGAGAGGCTTGCGGAGCCCAAATGCGGTTTCAGGAAAGGGTGGTCCTGCACAGATGCCATATTTTCTGTCCGTCTGCTACAGCAGAGGTGTAGGGAATTCCAGCAAGACCTACATCTCTGCTTTATTGACCTGGTCAAGGCCTATGATACCATCAGTAGGCCTGGGCTCTGGGTTGCTCTTCGTGCTTTTGGAGTCCCTGACCCTCTGCTCACGATCATTAAGGACCTTCATGATGGTGAGCGGGCCCGGGTAAAACTACGTGGCTGGGAGTCAGAGCCATTCCCTGTACACCTTGGGGTGCGACAGGGATGTCCTCTGGCTCCCACATTATTTAACATCTATTTTGACCACGTAGTTCGTGAAGCCTTCAATACCTGTACCGGGGGAATCTCCATATGGTACAGATATAATGGGAGGCTGATGTGAGTCTGTTTGTGTGAGTCTGTGTGTGTGTCTGTGTGTCTGTGTGTGTGAGTCTGTGTGTCTCTGTGTGTGTGTCTGTGTGTGTGTCTGTGTGTGAGTCTGTGTGTGAGTCTGTGAGTCCGTGTGTGAGTCTGTGTGTGAGTCTGCCTGTCTGTGTGTGTGTCTGCGTGTCTGTGTGTGTCTGTGTGTGTGTCTGTGTGTGAGTCTGCGTGTCTGTCTGTGTGTCTGTCTGTGTGTGTGTGGGGAGCGGTGGTGTAGCGGTTAGCTCTATGCTGCGCTATGAACCTGGCGACCCGGGTTCGATTCCCGCTCACGGCCAACACCAGTGACGATTTTCTGAACCGGCCCTGGGCCTCCCCTAGGTAGACTCAGCCTCAAATGAGTACCTGGTGCGAAGTGTAAACATCGCCACTGGGGAGACAAAGGCAGTCGGGCGTGGGGCTGGCCACCCACCCCGTCGTGTACCGTTCCGGCCTTCATAGGTGCCACTCGCTAACAGCACTTGCCCCTACAGTCTGTTAAGGCTATACGGGGGATCTTTATCGTTTAGCGTGTTTCTGTGTGTGTCTGTGTCCCACTCAAATACTCACTCACCTAGTCACTCACCCACCCACCCACTCACCCACTCACCCACCTACCCACGCAATGTAAGTGTGTGTGTGTGTACGCTGGACCTCTTTCGCACCGTACGTAGCCGACCGTGCCAATCGGGACACCCTTTGTTTGACGGTATGAACACGGTGCATGGTTCTTGTGCTGTCCGCCTTTCACCATTGACCTTCCCGTCTTACGCGGGCGGCGTAGAGAAACACGGCTCTCGTCTAGACCCAAATGGTGTTCGAGGTCTACACATCACCATCACCACCACAATCACCACCATCACCACCACCACTACCATCATCACCACCATCATCATCACCACCACCATCACCACCATCATCACCATCACCACCAACATCACCACCATCACCACCATCACCACCACCATCATCACCACCATCATCACCACCATCACCACCACCACCACCGCCACCACCACCACCACCACCGCCACCACCGCCACCACCGCAATCACCGCCATCACCACCACCACCACCACCGCCACCGCCACCACCACCACCACCACCACGACCACCACCACCGCCACCATCACCGCCACCATCACCACCACCACCACCACCGCCACCACCACCGCCACCACCACCACCACCGCCACCACCGCCATCACCACCACCACCACCACCCGCCACCGCCACCATCACCACCACCACCATCTCCACCACCACCACCACCATCACCCGCCACCGCCACCACCGCCACCACCGCCACCACCACCACCACCACCACCGCCATCACCACCACCACCACCACCCGCCACCGCCACCACCACCACCACCACCACCATCACCACCACCACCACCACCACCACCACCCGCCACCGCCACCACCACCACCACCACCACCATCTCCACCACCACCACCACCATCACCCGCCACCGCCACCACCGCCACCACCACCACCACCACCACCGCCATCACCACCACCACCACCACCCGCCACCGCCACCACCACCACCATCACCACCACCACCACCATCACCACCACCACCACCATCACCACCACCACCATCATCACCACCACCATCACCACCACCACCAGCACCACCACCACCACCATCAAAGCGTGTCAGTGTGCATGGTTCTTGCACTGTCCGCCTTTCTCGCTGTCGCTTGGACTCGCATCGTCAACCACGGCGGTGTTCCCTCGCCGGAGGCCACGGCTTTCCCGCCTGATCACGCGCGGCTTGGGTTGCGCCCGAAACGTCGTGATTTATTTTATTTTATAACCCATCACGTGACGACTTTAACGAAAGACGCAAAGGGTCTGCATCTCTGCGGTCACGGAAGCTTCAAATCGAGATCGGTTCTGAGTTCTCTTTACCGCGTCGCCGAATTGCCGATGTGACCAGCACCACCACAACCACCACAACAACAACAACAACCGCCATTCGCCACTAAGTGGTGGTGACGTCACCACGACGCTTGTGCCAGGCTATGTGCACCTTGAGGCCGACACGTGAAGTGTCGAACGCCCGCTGGGGGCAGGAGGTCACGGGGCAGACCCAGGTGCCACGGGTCGACTGACTGAGATGACTGAGATGACTGGCTGATGCACACCTGTGCCCCCTACTGTGCCAACCTGCTGTGCTTTAGCCACCCGGCGCTCCGCTCATTGTTGTGAGCGTCGCTCCTCCGCCCTCCGTTGTTGTTGGAGGGCGACTGCCTCCAACTGCCCAGTAGCAGCGTCCTTCACGAGCCTCCTCCACAGAGGCCGATCTTGACACCGCTGGTACCGGTCATCGGCAAGTCCACTCAGCTCCACGTCCTCCTGTACCACATCACTCCATCTCTTCTCTAGCCCGTGCCACGCCCGTTTAGCCCCCTCGATCCGGCCGAACAAAAGCTGTTTCGGCATGCGGTGGCTGGGCATGCGGGCTACGTGACCCAGCCAATGCAGCCGTGCCTGCTGTAGAAGCTCACCGATGCGACCTTGGCCAGATCTTTCAAGGATTTGTGAGTTCCTCACACAATCCAGCCTGGTTACACCC